CCACTTCAAAGGGGCAGTGTCAAGGGAGGCTCTGAGTATGGGAGCTTGTGGTTGTTTCAAATTAAGTTCAGCGCAATTGGATTGTGTTACCGAAGGGGCGGGCTAGCGCCTCTTTCTTCCCGCATGCAAGAAGTCATTGAGAAAACATTTCATTCTGAAAAGGTGGCTTATCAATTTATTCAACGCCGTAAATTAAGGGACAGAGTCAACTGCGCTCCCTGAGCTGAAGATCTGGTGGGTAGCAATTGCCACGAAATAGGTACATCTGGGGACTTGACAGGTCTTGTTTTGGGCGGGGAGATCAGCCAATGCGGTGTTGTTTGCCAGAGGCCTCAGCAAAGGATTGTTTTCTCTGCCCCAAATAAGCCCTCGCTGCTTGTTCCAATTTTGCATTAAAAGAAATGGGAAGTCAAGACGCAGGGCAAATCATGCTGTTGGCCTGGCCTCAATTTATCCTGTTCAGGATGCAAGTTGGCAGACTTTGGGCCCTTTTGCAAAGTGTGGATTTGTTTGGGCTTTTAGCATGCATGGGACTGCAAGACAAAATCCAGCTTTGCAAATTATACAAAAGAGCTATTGAGGATGCACGTCAGCAGCCTGATTTTTTACTTTTTTTATTTTAGAGAGAAGCAACTATTCCAAGTTTGCAAAGTCTTCCATGCCTGGTTGCCTAGAAGCAAGAAATGCTTCACCAAAGGCAACTGCCTGTTTGAGAATATTTTTAAAGCTGGCGTGGTGGGATCATGAATAGTGTTGGACTAGGGCTGGCAAGGACCTGGGTTCAAATCCCCACTCAGCCGTGAAATTTGCCAGGTGACCTTGGACCTGTTTCTCTCTCTCTCTCTTTCTCTCTCTCTCTCTCTGCCTAACCTACCGTATTTTTCGCCCTATAAGACACACTTTTTCCCCTCCAAAAATGAAGGGGAAATGTGTGTGCGTCTTATGGGGTGAATGCAGACTCCTTGGCTTCAGCGATAGCAACGTGAATTCCCCCACCTCCTAGAAAAGCCTGCAGGAGCCGCGCACCCTTTAAAGAGCGAGCGGCTCTTGGGGGCTTTTCCCCAAGGAGGGAGGAGGGACTGACTGGCCGTTTCAGTCCCTTCTTCCTCCTGGTCGAAAAGCCCGCAGGAGTCACGCGGGGCTCCTGTGGGCTTTTGCGGGAGGTGGGGGAATTCCGCCACCTCCCGCAAAAGCAGGGAGGTTTTGGAGTAGCGCACAGGCTGCGTGCAGCCTGTCCACTGCTCCCAGAGCTGCGGGGGGGGGGAATCATATTTTTTTCCTTGATTTCCCCCCCTGAAAACTAGGTGCGTCCTATGGGCCGGTGCGTCCTATAGGGCGAAAAATACGGTACTTACAGGGTTATTGTGTGGATAAAAGAGACCTTTTTTATATCACCCTGAGCTCATTTGGAAGAAGAGTAGAATGTGGAAAAATATTAAAGCAATTGTTTGACAAAGTATTTTGGTTGATTAAGTAGCCCGGTTATAAGAAGTATTTTGGTGGATTGAATAACCCAATTTTAATTCATGGGGCTGCAAGTTGAGGGCATACCTTTTGGGGTATATGTAGCTGTTTTGGTTTTTAGGCTGTGCTGTTCCAGGGAATGTTTGCAGAAAGGATCAACAATGGACGATCAGAAACTTTTGGCTTTGTGTGTGCTTACTGCGCTGGAAGTTTTCTCTCACAGCCCCTTCTGTATCTAACCAAAAAGGCACCTTGCCGCCTTGATAATTTTTGTCAATGGTTGATGATGTTTGTGATGGTTTGGGCAACATGCAAATGTCATTGACTAAACGCTCAGCAGTTTGATTAGTTGTCCAGGACACTCTTTAATCGTTTGATGACCCTGACACAGGAAGCTGCCACTGGTTCATTCTAGCTCTGTGTCTTCTACTCTGACTGGCAGCAGCTCTCCATTGTTTCGGGGGGGGGGACGGACATTCCCATCCTTACCTGGAGATGCCGCTGCCCTTCCCCCAATTTCCCTTGGCCTGCATCCTGTGCTGTAACTTTGCTCTAGAACCAAAGGGCATCGTGAGGAGCAGATTTAGGCTGAACGTTAGAGGAAACTTCTGAACTGTGAGATCTGTTCAGCCTTGGAGCAGACAGCCTCAAGAGGTGGTGGGCTTTCTCCTCCCCACTGGAGATATCTTAAGCAGAGGCTGGGATGCTGCAATTGCAATGGTCTGCATTAATTCAGCAGTGGGGTGTGCAATATGACCTTTTGAGGGCGCTTCCAACTCTGCAACGCTGATCATAGAATCATAGAGTGGGAAGGGACCCCTAGCAATGCAGGAATCACAACTAAAGCATCCCTGACAGCTGGCCGTCCAACCTCTCCTTTGAAACCTGAAAGGAAGGAGTCTCCTGAGGGCGTCTGTTCCACTGTCAAACAGCTCTTACTGTCAGAAAGTTCTTCCTGATGTTTAGCCGGAATCGCCTTCCTTGTAACTAGGAACCATTGGTTCAAGTCCTGCCCTCCAGAGCAGGAAGAAGACAGGCTTGCTGCATCTTCCAGCCCTTGAGATATTCTGAAGGTGGCAGTTAGTTAATTCTAATGAAACGAGAGCAGTAACTTGCAAGCGCTGTTCAGCCCTGGAGGTGTAGCTGGAGTGAGTGTCTTCGCGCGGCAGGCAACGATCCTGCCTTCATAGACTCTCAGGGCTGGAGGGAACCACAAAGGAACATCTAGTTCAATCTCCTGCAATGCAGAAATCTCCACCCCACGTGGCGCTTGGACTCATGACCCTGAGATTAAGAGTCTCATGCTCTACCGACTCTGGGCTGTCACTTTCAAATTGCCTTCGACCCTTCTCAGGGGTGGGGAGAAGGGAATGATCATCCATCTGCAGGCCTCTGGCTCCAGTGGAGGGGCTGAGGAGGGGAGACTTTCTTCTCTGATGGCTTTGTGTGGGGCTCCATCTGCTTTTCTGCCAGCCCCATCGTGCAGCCTCCAGGGTGGGGGCTGTGTGCTTGCGGGAGGCAGGGGCCCCTGTGTAGCGTTTGCTGCCTGCGATGGTGGATCAGCAGGGTGGGACGCGCATCCCCTCTGAAGTTTGTGCTCAGATGGCTGCTCCCGAGATACCAGGCGCCCTGGGGGGAAACCGCACGCACCCTGGAGGAGCCGGCACAGCGTGGGGGCCTGGATCTGCCAGCCTCATGGAACATCTGTGACCTGAACATGCGCAAGGGCTCCCTCCCTCGGATCCAGGCTCTGTCCTCCCGTTGCATTTGTGACATGTGTGTATGCAATGCAAGGCCTCTAGGTTCATGGAGCTGTAGAGTTGGAAAGGACAGGTGACCGGACAGGTCATCTAGTCCAACCCCCATGTTAACCTGTTTGTTTGCTTTCTTGAAAAGAAACAAACGTCTGCAGTGAGAGGGGAAACAGCAGTGCAGCCCTGCATGGGTGGGGAAGCTCAAATAAAAGGAATTGGGTAGGTAGCAAATGTTACTTATTTAAGCTGGTTTGTCATCTCCTACCTTTCTTTGTATACTAGGTGCAGGGAACTTTTGTCTCCTGTGGAAGCTGCTGAACTACAACTCCCAGCAGCCCCTCAGCAAGTGTGGGCAATGGGCAAGGATGGGGGTTACAGTTCAACAACTATATATAACTCCCGTCTATATTGTCTACCTGGGATAGCTCAGTTGGTAGAACGTGAGACTCTTAATCTCAGGGTTGTGGGTTCGAGTGGCACCTTGGGCAAGAGATTCCTGCATTGCAGGGGTTGGACTAGATGACCCCAGTGGCACCTTCCAACTCTACCATTATATGATAAATGCGTCTGAATAGCAGTTGCTGGAAAGCACAGGAAGGGAGAGGGCTTTTATGCTTGAATCCTGCTTCTGGCTTTCCTGTAGGCATCTAGTTGGCCACTGTGAGAACAAGACGCTGGACTGGTGAGGCCATTGGCCAACCCTATACGGAATATGGTGCTAACCAAAGAAAGGGTTCAAAATGTGCACCTGTTGTTCAGGCACAGAGCTGCTCATGTGACCCGAGGTCTGAAGTCACCCCCTCCTCCATTTTTTGTCCAACTTGTCAGCGTGATCCGCATGTCTGTTACCTTCTCTCCTGTTGCACACCGGTGCTACTCCGGTTCCTGGGAAACCCAAGGGCCTCTTCTGAAAAGCCCAGCACGACCCAATTTGCTGCACTCCCAGAGTGCAGAGGCCTTCCGGAAACAGCTCAGCCGCCTTTCCCAGGAGACCACAAGCAGGGCCGTGTGGAAGACGTGGCCTTTTGAAAATTATTTTAGGAATCGGTCTCCAGAAATATCCCTGATTCATGGGAGCGTTTCTTGGTCGATCATGAAGCGGAGACGGCCATCTGTTATCTTTTTCCAACGGGGCTTTGGGTCCTGCTGAGCCTCTCCTGCAACAAGGACAACTGATGCCTGTGAAATGAAACGCTGCCCACATCCTCCTCCTCCTCCAGGTTGCAGATGAGGGGCTGCCCCTTATATCCAGCCCCCAAGCCATTCGTTCAAGTGCTTGGCATTCTGTGCAACTGGACTTCTTACAGGTGTCGCATAGTACCCGTTCTGCAGCTGTAAGAAACCAATCGCTTGGCATGGTACTTTGGAACTCCCTGCCTATTGACATCAGGTTGGGGCGCCTTCACTGTACTCCTTTGATTTCCTGCTAGAAACATTTTTGCTTAGACAATTCTACCAGGCATGTAGAATGTTAGCAACTGTTTTAATCTGGTTTAACAATCAATCCTTCTTCGCAGGGGATTCTGGGAGTTGTAGCTCTGGGAAGAGAATAGGGGTCTCATAACAACTCTCAGCACCCTTAACAAACTACACTTCTCAGGATTCTCCGGGGGCTGTTTAAAGTAGTATGGTGCTGCTTTAATTGTATACTGCAGATGGGGCCTGAATAAATCTATTCTTATGCTACCTGGCCCAGCACTCTCCCTTATTATTTTGTGGTCTGCCTTTTTTTGGGGTGGATATTTTGGAAGTTCATTCTCTCCTGTTGTTCCTTTTTTGCAGCTGGATCCCCAGACGGTGCAGACCAAGAACTGGCACATGGATGTGATTGAAATGAATGGGGTAAGAAGGGGAAACGGGTTGGGTACCACGCCCCATGGTGCTTGCCCAAGATCCCCCTTCTCTCATGCTCTCACTGCCCACCCTGGGCGCTCCTCTCCCCCGCCCCACCCCCATAGTAAAGAGCTTCCCCATTGCAGGATGTGACCTTGATCTTGAAATCTCCCTTTCAGATCAAAGTGGAGTTCTCTATGAAGTTCACCAGCCGCGACTTGAGCCTTAAAAGGACCCCATCGAAAAAGCAGACGGGAGTCTTCGGGGTAAAAATCAGCGTCGTCACAAAGTACGTTGTGATCGGGTCCGGCGGTGGGTGCAGGGCTGCCCTGATCAGGGGAGGGGGTCTGGTGACGTTTTGGCTGGAGGGGGAAGGAATGCCACCCTGGGCCTTTGCAATATTTGTTTGTTCTTCAGCCACTCTGGGCTAATAAGGTCCATAATTTTTTTTTAAAAAAACCCCTATTGCTTGCAATCACAGGGAAGAGGTAGGCAGTTTCTGCAAGGGCCTGGCTTCCTCCGTGGTGTCCTGGGCTCTCTCCTGTGAGAGCCAGTGTGGTCTAGTGGTTAAGAGCGGTGGACTCGTAATCTGGTGAACCGGGTTCGCTTCCCTGCTCCTCCACATGCAGCTGCTGGGTGACCTTGGGCCAGTCACACTTCTCTGAAGTCTCTCAGCCCCACTCACCACACAGAGTGTTTGTTGTGGGGGAGGAAGGGAAAGGAGAATGTTAGCCGCTTTGAGACTCCTTCGGGTAGTGATAAAGCGGGATATCAAATCCAAACTCCTCTTCTTCTTCTTCCTGACCCATCTCTCTTCTCTTGCTCTCTCTGCTCTGTTGCTTCCAGGCGCGAGCGCTCCAAAGTGCCCTACATTGTGCGCCAGTGCGTTGAGGAAGTGGAGAAGCGCGGCATTGATGAAGTGGGGATCTACCGGATCTCAGGGGTGGCCACGGACATCCAGGCCTTGAAAGCAGCCTTTGACGCCAGTAAGTTCCCCCTTGCATCTTTGCTGCCGGCGTGGCCAATTTCTTTCTCTATCTCATGGCTTAGCCAAGGATCTCTTCTCTGAGAGCAGCCAGCGCCCAGTCTTTGTATCTGGCATTCACACGAGTATGCTGCCACTAAACACGGAGGTTTTTATTTGGCTGTTTTCTCTAATAGCGCTTTTAGGACAGTTTTAACGTAGCTGCTCTTAGAGCCAGCATTGTGTAGTGGTTTAGGGTGACAAGGGTTCAAATCCCCACTCGGCCACGACATGTGCTGGGTGACCTTGGGCCAGTCACTGCCTCTCAGCCTGGCCTACCTCACAGGGCTGTCGCGGGAGACTAAATGAGGAGGGGGAGAAACACATATGCCACCTTGAGCTCCTTGGAGAAAAAGGTGGGATATAAATACAACAGCAGCAGCAGCAGCAACAACAACAACTTGTCTTGAATTGTAATTGTTTATAGAATGTTTTAACTATTTTAGATGGTTTTTTAATTGTGTATTTGTTTGCTGCCCTGGGCTCCTTCGGGAGGAAGAACCAGGGTATAATTCAATAGATAAATCATTATTATTTATTTAGCTACTTTTGTACACAGCTGCGAGCAGGATTCCTGCATCGTAGGGGGTTGGACTAGATGACCCTCGGGGTCCCTTCCAACTCTATGATTTTATGTTACTGGATTTCCATCAGCTCCAGCCAGCTTGGAATGATGAGAATTGGAGTCTGCCTACATCTGGAGGGCACCATGTTAGACACTCCTGGCTTAATAGATAAACATTTGGCTGCACCATTACGGATATTCAGTAAACACATCTGTCCAAGTGTCTAAAAGCAGCAGTCAAAATGTGGAAGTGCAATAAGGCATTGTTAATATTTGTAGAGGGATATTGTCCAGCTTGATGAATGGGGAAAGATGTGTCTTCCAAAGACATCTGAAGCAGGTCTCTGCTGTGACAGGAGAGGAAAGAGTCTTCCAAATATTGGGGGCAGCAGCAATAAATGCCTTTTTAACCCCCCCCCCCAGTCAGTCGCCTGCCTCTAATGTCACCCTATTCTTTGCAAATGTGTCTACTCCTTTTGTTTTGTTTTAAAGCCAAGTAAGCTATCACCTCATCTTATGGTTCTGAAGCCAGATGGCTGAATTGAAAGAAGAAAGGGAATTAGCTGGATCTTGGCCTGATCTAGTAGGGGAATTCTTGAGGATGGTGGGGGTGGTTTTATAGCTTCGGTGGCAGGGCCTCCGCTTTGCATACAAAGGTCCCAGGTTCAGCCTCTGGCATCTGGCAGGTGGAAAAAGAGGAAGATCAGGTTAGCAGACAATGGGAAAGATCATCTCTCTCTCTCTGCCTCAGACCCTGAATAGCTGCTGCCAGTCAGAGTTCACAGTATTGAACTAGGTAGACAAAGAGTCGGATCTGGTATACAAGGCAGCATATTCCCCTTCCAGCATTCCTCTTTCCTTTGTTTTAATTCTGCCGTAGACAGCAAAGACATCCTGATGATGCTGAGCGACATGGACATCAATGCTATCGCAGGCACCCTGAAGCTGTATTTCCGCGAGCTCCCTGAGCCTCTTCTCACGGATCGGCTTTATCCTGCTTTTATGGAGGGTATCGGTAAGGGAGCTTGTGTTACATGTATTTGCAGAGATGTGGAGCAGGAATTTCTTGATACAGGCTTGGAGCTCAGGATTCAGGGAGTGGGTGAGACCCTAGCCAGGACCACAGGACAAAGAGGGCAGGGGCAAGTTGTCTGTATCATTTCTCTTGCATCTGGATAGGCATAGAAACCCCAGGTACGGCCTAACAACTAACACATCTTTGCAGCACCTCTGAGTGTTAATTTCCTTTTTGTATTTTATTCTCCCCCGCCCCCAAGCCCTGCAACCAGCTCAGGGCAACATGCATGGAGTTTATTATTTTTATTTATTTATTCAGAGCATTCATACCCTGCTCTTCAGCCCAAAATGGCTTACACACAGTCAGTTAAAACGAGACAGTCCCTGCCTGCAGGTTTACGATCTAGAAAAGGACAGCACACAAGGAAAAAAGGACAAGGAGGGAAGAGGAAAACAAAAAAGTCAGGCACCAGTTCTTAAACTGTTGCTCGTATAATGCCTGTCTGGCACAGTTCATGGGTAACAGGAGCCTGGTGGAGCTTGGCTTTCAAGCAAAACTGATGGAATGAGCCCTGCTTCCCATTGCTCCCACCCAGGCAGTCTGCAGAATGGCTGCCCCCAGGTAACAGTCTGATGAAGTTCTCTCGTTTTATTGGGGGGGGGCTGTTACTTTGTGGTAGAGCCCCTGCTTAGCACGCAGAAGTTCCTAGCTTCAATCCCTGGCAACTTAAAAGTAAAAAGGAAATGAGTAGCAAGCAATGAGAGAAACCTTTCTTTGCCTCAGACCCTGGAGAGCTGCTGCCAGTCATTTGGACTAGGAGGACAAATGCTCTGAGCTGTCCATCTTCACAACCACCCTGTGAAGTGGACCAAGAACAGAGCATCTGGAGAGCTCCATGGCTGTCTGAGGTTTTGATGCTGGGCATCTACTGCCCCTCACTGGGACTTTTGAGAATGAGTGTGCAGTTTGGACTTTGGTGGTTCTGTGTACATTAGCAAGGCTTTTCCAGAGTGGTTGGGGTGTGGGCGCTTGCCAGCTCTCTCTCACTGCCACCTTTCCACCCCCAGCACTCTCTGACCCAACAGCCAAGGAGAACTGTATGATGCACCTTCTGCGTTCTCTGCCTGACCCCAACCTCATCACATTCCTCTTTCTGCTAGAACACTTGAAACGGTAAGTCCCTCCTGTCTCAGGGAGACTGAGTCTGTGAAGTGGGAGCACTGCAATTGGGTAGGGCCTAGAGTACAGGGAGCCTGATAATTTTGTTTTTTATCCTGCTGTTCGACCCAGAAAGTAAAAAAGTGGCAAACAAATCAAAGTCTAGCCAACCAACATAGCAAACTTTTTTAAAAAAAGAAATGCTAGAATGGCAAAAATACTAAATTCACTCAAGCCAGGGCCAAGCATTGGTAAAACAGTTGTTGGAAGAGGATCTAGGCAGATCGGCCAAATGAAATGATCTCTGGCTGGTGCTGAAATATTTGGCTTGTGCCAGGAGAGCTTCCATGTGGAGGGCATTCCAAGGACTGGGGGGCCACCACCACAGAAGCCCTGGAGAGGGGACCCCCCAGTTCCCAGACTAGCTCTGCCTTTTGGCTGAGAGGTCAGTTCTTTGTGTCTCATTGGAGAGCTGATGATCCGCTGCTGGGAAACACAAGTGTGGAGAGCACTGCTGTTGTGCTCTGGTGCTGCTTTCAGGCTTTCCCCCTAGGGCAGCTGGTTGGCTGCTGGGATGCTGGACTAGGTGGGCCTGATCCAGCAGCCAGGCTCTTCTGGCATTCTTGTGTTCAGGGTCCACAGCAAAGGAAAAAAACCCCGTTCCTAATTTTCCACTTGCTTCCCTTGGGGCGGAGCAGAGTTCAGCGGCAGGTGCAACTTTCTTCCTATAAGGAGAAACTGCTCGCAGACTGTCTGGAAACCTCAGCCGCCTCTATAGATCCTGAAAGGGAGATGACAGAGGGGTTTAAGGAGATGGCGGTGTCACTTAGCAGCCTGCTCTTGAGGGCTTGGATGCGGACAGGCTCCATCCTCCTCCCTCCTTCAAGTCACTCGGCTTCTGCCGAGGACATGGAATCGATGTAGGAGCTGCGGCTTGGCTGAGTGCCGGGCAGGCCAAAAGCTCCTCTGCACCAGTGGGAATTTGGGACTGGAATCTTGTGTTAATTGGCACATCCCCCTTCCCTGTTTTGTTTGTTAAGAATCAAGCAGTGGAGGCGGGGGAGCGGGGAGAAGGAAGATCCAGCAGCAGAAAGAGGTGGTTGTAGGACGGGGGGAGAGCAGCGCTGCGTCCTGGAAGGAAAATCCACTTGGCTCTCGGCTCGGAAGAGAGGGCACATCCAGTTCCCACATCTGTTCTGCTGGACGCCACTCAAATGGAGCACAGCTTGTGTTATTGGGGCTGGAGCGCAGCTGCCTCCTAACATGGCAATATTTTGATGCTGGTTTCCAAGGCGATAGCTGGCCATGGACCAGCACAGCCAGCAGTAGTTTCCGGGGAAGGGGAAGGTGTGTGTGTGTGCCGGAGGAAGTTTTGGATGATTTCCAGAGCCAAAATGTTGGCAGGGGGCAGGAACTGGGAAAAGCGGATGGTGCCACGTCAAGGCGGGAGTTTGAAGCTGGGATTGTGTCCCTTTCACATGTGGAAATTGTGTGTGTCCAGAATGAGGGGTCAGGCAAGGAGAAAGAGAGAGGGGGGAAATGGTGAGAAATTCCATCTGATCTTCTCCAGCTGGGCTATGGTGGAAAAGCCTGCAAATGCCGCACCAAAATCTTGCGAGTCTTTTTGAAATGGGTCTGTCTTTTTGTGCAGGGTGGCTGAGAAGGAGCCCATCAACAAAATGTCCCTGCACAATCTGGCCACCGTGTTTGGTCCAACGTTGCTGAGACCTTCTGAAGTGGAGAGCAAAGGGCAGCACCTCACGTTGGCCTCAGATATCTGGTCCCACGACGTAATGGCGCAGGTACAGTGGGTGGGGAAGAGAGGGGCAAGGGGGCAGGGGGCAGCAGGCAGAGGAGTCAATTGCGTTTGGATGGGCAAGCTCCCTCTGCTGGGCAAACTTTCAAACTTCACCCTGGAAGTGCAGCTGCTCTGTGTGTGTGTGTGTGTGTACGCGCCCGTGCGCGTGTGTGTGTAGAGAGAGCGCGCTCAGGCAAACCTTAATTTCATTTTTAAAACCTCCAAACTTGTATTACCTTCTTGTGCATTAATCTTTTTTAAAGCGAAGTGGATAACATTTTGAAAACTGCTTTAGAATTTGGAGAGGAATTGTAGCTTAGTGGTAAAGCACACACTTTGTGTGAACTGAGCACAGGAATGCTGCTTCCAGACCTGCCTCATTGCTCAATAAATGTCCCATCTGCCTTTGCCCAAATTCCTGCTGGGCCCCCTTAATTGGAGGGGCAGTTTGAGGGGCTGGTTAAATAACTGAGAGAGAGTGAGTATGCATGTTGCAGCTCTTCCTAAAGCTGGCCCTTCTGAGTTCGTAGCTCTGTTCCTGCTGTGCTTTATACTCCATCACCTTTGCAGGGTGGCAAATAAGAAAATCCGCAGGGATTCCATCAGAAGACATCTCTGCCTATCAAGAGCTCTTCTCTGTTGGGGACGCTGCAGTGTGTGAGAGACTATCCTGATTTTAACCCACTTTTCCTTTTGCAGGTGCAAGTGCTACTCTACTATTTACAGCACACGCCCATCTCCTTTGCCGAGCTCAAACGCAACGCACTCTACTTCTCCACAGACGTGTAGCCCCGGGGCCCTGCAGCCACCTGCATTTTTCTAAGCCGAGGGGCGCAGCACAGACTCATGAATCCGAGCACGGATCCTGCTGAGAATAACGCCGCTGCCCTGGAACCAGACGCTGCCCCATACCTCATGGGACGATTTTGTATCAGCCCCACACCCTTCTTCCCCCCCTGCCCACCTCCCAGCACAGTAGTCCACGTCTCTCGTACTTCTCGTGTCCAGGAGTCATTTTTATGTCCCATTTCTTGAGCAGTGGGAAGGAAGCGAGCGACGGATGAAGACACAGCCTCTTGTTTCTTCCCCAAAATGGTTGCCGCCTTCTGGGTCCAACAGAGCTTCGCTGCAGCCAAGTCCTCTCCTCCAGCCGGCCTCGCCACCCGCAACAATGCTTGATCTTTTTGCTCCCTGCCTTTGTGGCCTGCATGTACGCTGCTTGCTTGGATTTTCCTGCTTTTGGAGGCTTAGGAGGACACCAAGGGCTCTTCCCCTCGTCCTGGTCAATCTACATTCTCTTCGCTTTTGTCTCGCCTGACAGACCTGGTTGCTGAACTCTGCATTCTTTTACCCCAGCTGGCAGGGCTGAAGACAGCAGCATTTTCGTTTTTAAAAAGCCCTGCCTATTCCAGCTCCCCCCACTTTTTTAATGCTGGGGGAGCCTCTCGTCCTGTGACTCCTGTGCCTCGGTAGGCTTTGTAACTGTGCATAATGTGGGGGGGGGGGGTAAAGCAGCCATCTTCCTGTTTTATTCTGTAAAAAGGTTTTAATAATGAACCTTGATGGCAGGAAAGTGAAGAGAAAGTGGCTGCTTGCTAGTCTTAGATGTGTGTGCGTGTGGCAGAGAGTGATACCTACCTCCCCATCCCCGCTGCCCTGCTGTGTTGCCCACAATCACTTTATTTATGGTTAGATTCTCTTGGGACTAATTCAAACTTAATCCTTGGAAAGGAAATCAGATCTTAATGAGGGCGAGACTGTCCTGCTCCCCACCCCTGAAAGGATTATTTGGCTGGCCGAGAGGAAGGCTGGTTGCCTTGTGGCCGTGCCTCTTGCAGGTGGCTCTCGCTAGCCAAGCCTGGCCAGGGAGCCAGTGGGTATTTCCTGCTCCCACCTCCTCCACATGGCTTTGATCCAGCCCAGCCATCCGCCGGGGCTGTTGGGCACCTTTCCTCCAGGAGGGTGTCTGGAAAAGGGGCCGTTTCTCAGTGCTTCACGCAGCATGGCTTACAGGGTTCAGCTAAGGAAGACTCAGGTTGGATGTGAAAGGTGTCATTTCAGCCCTTAAGAGCCCCCACCTGCACCCCCCATTTCTCTCTTTCTGCGAGAGATCGGGCGAAGCAGCCGAGGAGAGTGCAGCCCTCCAAAGGAGTGGGGGCTCTGTGTTCCCGATTGCCGCCCCACTCACACACCCAGGTGCCAAGCAGCAATCCAGCAATGAGTTGTATTGGCAAGCTAGACAGCCCTTTGTTTCATAGAGAGGTCCCTCACCCTCACAAGAGAAATGACTTCCAGGCCTGCCCCCTCCACGTTAAGTGACTTCGGCCACACTTTCCGCCCAGGACAATGGAGTGTTCTGTGGCCCACCGTTCAGGGACCAGAAATGTTTTGCTGGCCAGAGTTGTTATTTTTCGGGCCCTCCTGCACAGATCCTTGTGGGTCTGCATCTACCTTTATGTATGTGTCTGTGGAAGCTGAAGTCATTCCTAAGCCAGAGCGCCTCCGCGCACTTCTGAGTGTCAGAATCTGATACCAGCATAGCCAGCCCCCCCCCCGACAACTGCACTTGCTCTTTTTTCTGATGGTGAGGAAGGGGAGACTGGGACTCCTGGAGCTACAGGTTAGATTAGAAACTGTATAATTGATATTTGACTTGTTTAAGGATATATATTATATATATATATATATTTTTGGTTGTGTTCCGTTGCAGGTTTTTTCTCCCCTCTCTGTAGATGACAAACTTTAAATGGATGTAAACCATGTGAGGAGATTAAAAAAAAAAGTTAATAAAATGCAAAGCCCAAACATTTGCACAAATTACTTCTGGGGTGTTTGGTCTTTCTATCTCAATCAGTGTTGAAAAAGAAAAAGATCTGGCGTAACTAGCTTGGACACATGACAGGAGTAATAGTTCAATTGGTAGAGCACCTGGGAGACCCTGCCTGAATCCCTGGAGAGCCACTGCTGCCAGTCAGTGTGAGTGAGATGTGGGTGCCCAGTGGTCTGACTCAGTAGAAGTCAACAGCCTAGGAGCAGCCAATGTGCTGCCCTCCAGATGCTGCTTAACTAAAACCCCTTACTCTTGACCACTAGCTAGGCTGGACACTGGTGCTGATGGGAACTAGGAGTTCAGTAATACCCAGAGGTACCACTCTGGCTCCTCTTGTTCTAACAGCTCCCCGATCTATACCGCCTTCCGCCCCCTTGCTCATAACTGTAGTCTAGCTGCATTTCCCCTCCTGTACAGGGATTATGCAAGGGAGAGGGAGGACCATGTCTTGCACATCTAGCTATGAGCACACCTGTACCACATGACAGAATTCATGCAAGCAATTGATCCCATGCCCTTATTAGGGGCTATTGCAGCTCAATAAGCGATTCTGCCAATAGGAAGGGGGCTGGCAAAGGGAAATAAAGACGGGGGAGAGTGGGAAAGCTTAATTATTCAGCCTGGGAAACAGCAATATTTCTCCTAGGCAACTACGGCTGTTGCCATGGGAATGCCAAGATGGGTGCCTGGTGTGCTTCCATCCTCCTGTTCGGTGTCACTTCACAAACCAGCTCCGAACACATGAGTGCCCCTCCTCCCCCTGGTTTGTGATCTTTTAATTACAATTTCAAAGCAAGTCCCAGTGGTGGTGCTGATTAGTGAGAGGGTGCAGAAGGCCCCAGGTTCAGTACGCAGCATCACAATTTGCTGCGGGGGGTGGAGAGCACGCAATATGATGCTGGCCTTTGTCTGATGCAAAACCAACCCAGAATGCAGATTTAGAACCTGCTCTAGAAAAAATAATTTAGTGGAGGGAGGCGGTGAGTCTTGAAGGCAACTTCCTTTCAGTCTAGCATGAAAAGAAGCCCCTCGCCTTGAACCAGTGATGCTAACTGAGCTTCTCTCACCTCCAAAGACACAGCTGGGCACATTCAGCACCAGCCTATGCACTGACAAGCTATAACTGCCTAGTTTAAGTAGATCATCAAGAAGTCCCACCTACCTGCTGCGCTGCCTTACTGAAGTCCTCTGGAGACCCCCAACAGTGCTGTACCGGAGTGGGGGATGAGAGGTCTCCCTGATGTAGCTCTGCAGTTCATAAACCATCCAAGTTCTTTGGTGTTTTATTCAACTTTCTCTTTTAAGACGCTTCAGCCAGTTGGAAGCTTGAGCTCTCCTGACAAGCATCTGTAACATCTGCAGGGGACAAGACCCTACTTTTTCTTGGTCACTGGCAGAGTCATCCTCGCTTTTCTCCTAAAGGTCTCTTCCCAGAATGTACTGTAGTAGGGAGAGGGGCCTTAGGGTACCAAGCTTAGTGTGGGAGGCAGGAGAGCTGCTTCCAGCTTTACACTGTCTGTACCCAAGAGAATGTACTTTACTCCTTGCTATTCGTGTAACAGGAATCTACATATAGCCTCACTACTGGATCCTTCTAACCCAGTACACCGTTTCCAGCGGTAATCAGCCAAACGTCTCTGCAATGTGCACAGGCAGGGAATGAAAGCAACAACCGTCTCCTGCTGTTTGACGTTCAAAGGTATACTGCCCCTGCAAAAGGAGGTTCTATGTAGCGAACATGACTAATAACTGTAGAACGATCTCGCCTCAATGAATTTGTAGATGTCAAGCTCCATTTCAGACATCTAATTTAAATTTGATATCCATTGACAAACAACTAACCACAGCATCTAGGAAATATTGTTCTTGTTTCATTAGCATCAAACACTTGACAAGGCCTGGAATAAATTAAATCTTTCAATTTTCTCCTGTATCCGACATAGTCATGAAGCTACGAGCTTGTGTTTGTAGCAAGTGCTGACACGCTGTAACAGCTTTTATGCTTGCCACAGCAAATGCATACACTTAGCAGAAGGAGTTGACAGAATACCGGCAGTCCTTGGAATTAACACCTAGTCGTACCTCTCCAACGATGTTTGAACAACACTTTGCTTAGATGACTCGCTGACTCTGCCCACGGGCTGGATGCATATCCTGTTTTCTAGGACACAGCTCTCAGAAACCTTTCCCCTTTCCTTAATCGGTTGTCAGGAACAGGGAAGTGAGTTGGGCCAGCTGTCCTGCACAGTTCACATCAGAAGGTCCTCCTTCATTGGCATCAGCTGCTACCGTAAGTAGTAGTCAATCACTGCAGAGAACGCAGCAAAGCCCCCACAGCCAAGGACCCCGGCTTTCAGGCCAGCTGCAAGGCAAAAGGAGAAGGCAATCAGCACAACAGCAAATAATCATGTTTCTTTCCTGTAGCTAAGCCTATATTGTTGGCGGGAAAGCAAAAAAGATCACTTCCACTAGCAGGTTTGGTCCCAACCCCTTGTAAAATATTCCTTTTATTTCAGCCCTACAGAGGATGACCTGAACCAGGTCCTGGCCCTAGAAACTGAAGCACTCAGTAAGATCAGAAGCAACAACTCTTGGCTGCAAACACAGAGGTGGGATTCAGGTAGCGCCAGCTGTCTTTCCCTCTCAAAGAAGTTTAAACCAATCGGACCCAACATAACAAGCTTAGCTAGAAGCTGTTCAGAAAACCATTTAATGCTCTTAGGGAAGATTAACACTCTTAATTTTTAACTTGCCCGGCTCTATCTAGCTCAGTATGGTTTACACCGAATGGCAGCAGCTCTGTAGGTTTTCAAGCAGGGAGTCCTTTTCCCAGCTCTACTTCGAGATTCCAGTGGAGACTGAAACTACAGGTCATCCTAAGGATTGAACCCTTAGACCAAGGCAGAGGTTTTCCATCCATGATCCAAACAGTCAGTGGGGAAAACACCACCTGACTGAGCCACAGCATCTACAGTGGCCACAAGTCAGCTTATAAGGACAAATCCCTGTATAAACAGAAAAAAGCACCTGTCTGTCAGCGGAAGGTCATCAGAGAAGGGATGAGACAATTCACCTTCAGCAAGCAGTTTCAGCACCTTGGAGCAAGCGCTAAGACTAACAGCACAATTCTAGCCATGTCTACTACAGTAAGTCCTACTAAATTCAGTGAGGCTTATTCCAAGTTAAATAGGGCCAGGATTGTAGCCAGGCGTGGGGAACTTGTGGTCCCCCAGATGCTGTTGAGCTCCAACTCCCATCAGCCACAGCTTCCACAGCCTAGGACAGGAGAGGTGGGATTTGCAGTCCAACATCCTGCTCTGTGCTATGGCTCATATTACTTCCTGGCCCTAACATTTAGGACCAGTAGAACCTGCAGCATTCTGTCTTTATCAGGATCCAAATGAGCCCAGCAACTGCTCAACGGCAACATGACTCACCCCGGAAGCCAATGGCCCCTCCAGTAATGCACCCACTCATCACGCTGTTCTTCCAGTCAGTCTTGCCTCGATACTAGGGAAATGAGAAACACAACATCAAGACCAGCCACATGAACCTCTGCATACAGCACCAATTCTAAACCACTTAGGCCCCAGATGTCTGAAAGACCACCTCCTCCTACGGACCCTCCTGAGTGTTACTATTGGCAAAGGGTGCCCTCTTGGTCCACTGCCCTTGAAAGTTCAAAGGGTGGGGTGGGCTGGGAGAGGGCAATTTCTGTGGCAGCCCCTAAGTTGTGGAATTCCCTCCCCACAGAGGTGAGCCAGGCACCTTTTGCATTTATTTCATACAATTTATATACAGCTTGATTGTAAAAAACCAAAAACAAAACACCAACCCTCAAAAGCTTTTGTCATATGCTGAAAATCCACATCTTTCAGGACCCACCCTATTCTTGCGACTAATTTATCTGAAACTGTTTTTAATATTTTATCTTGTATAAATAGTTGTATCTGGCCCAGGGCACCTAAGAAATACTGTAATAATCAACCAATCAATCAATCAATCACAATAGCAGCAGCAGTGCTGCTTTTGTACTGTTGGGTGGGGAATAAATCTAGTGGCTTGAGATGAGAACATGAGAGTTCCCCTGCTGGGTCAGGTCAAAGTGGCCAACTAGATGAGATGCCCCAGTGGGAAGACCACAGAGATATTCAGGAGTGTCACTTTTAGTCATGCATACAGTCCTACTGAAGACTGTGGCTTTAAGGCTGGCATGAATGACAGCTTACAGTGTAAGATGTTATATTTAAATAAGAAAATCATTACAAGAAGCCAGCAGATCAAAGCCGGAGAGTTACTCACAGACTCCACCAGGCATTCAGTGCAGGAAAACATGGCACCAACAATGGCAAAATTCTTGGCGTAGGACATCCCTCTTTGCCCCATGTCTTTCAAGACCTCTTTGGCTGTTGGCGTGCGGTACGGATCCTTGGGGTCAAACCCCACATTGGTATCGATGCCGGCTGTGAACACACCAAAGGCACCTCCCAGCACGAATCCTGCCAAGTAAACAGAAAAGTTGGCAAGGCAATTAGCAGGGTGACAGGATCCAAATTCCATTTCAGTGTTGTTTCTCAGAAGCGTCCTCATCTCCTCAATTTCAGGCCACTCTGCTCGGACACATGAAATCAGGGGAGGCTTGTGGCCCATCTAATTCAGTATCCTTTTCTCACAGGGGCCAACCAGATGCCTCGATGGGAAGCCCACATGCCAGCGACATAGCTAGCTGCTCGGGCGCCCGGGGTGGCACAAATGCCCTGCACCCGGGGGCAGGGCAAGCCGGGGCAGAGCATGATGTGTGAAACCTCCACGGAGTCTGCAAGCCCCAAGTTGCTGTTTTGGGCAGTACGGAGCCTGCAGGTACCCAAGCCACCGCGTCACTCCCCAGGAGAGATGTGTGGCTTGATGTGTGCAGGCCAGGCTCCGTGAGATGTGAGAGATGTGTGGCTTGATGTGTGCAGGCCAGGCTCCGTGGTCACTCCCCTCAGTGATGACACCAGGGCGGCCTGCAACCCACTTCCTACGCCACCGCTACAAGCAGGACCTGCGTGCAACAGCACTCCGCTCCCCCAGTTCTGTTTCCCAGCAAACTGGCAATCAGGACCATATTGACTCTGACAATGGAAGGAAAACATAGCCATCAAGGTTAGTAGCTACTGATCACCTTTACTTTCCATGAATCGGTCTAAACCTCTTTTAAAGCCAATCACTTTGGTGTCCATCCCTGCCTCTTGCGTGAGTGAGTTCCATAGATTTGCTATGTACTGCGTGAATAAGCCATTTCTTTTGTCTGTTGTGACTCCTTCAACGCTCAGCTTCATTGTAAGTCCCGGAGTTCTAGAGTTATGAGGCAAACGTTTCTCTCTCCACTTTCTCCATGCCATGAATAATTTTTATTCATGTCTCCATTGACTCTCCTTTTCTCTAAACTAAAATGTCTCAAATGCTGCAGCCTTTCCTCATGGGGCTGTTGCTTCCATCCCCTTGATCATCTTGGCTGCCAGTTTTTGAACCTTTTCCACATCTAAAATATCCTTTTGAACCATACACAGTGCTCCAAATGTGGTAGCACCATAGATTTGTATAAAGGCATTATTATATATACCAAACATCCTACCACTTAATGCTTTGCAGCTGATGAGCCAGCTAAAGAAAAGTGCATTCATTAAAGGTTTAATAAGCAAGTGCACAATTCTTCATTACTATTATTGAGCTCTAAGTGCTCTAAAGTGCCATACAGATGCTTTTCTATACCACTAAAGGCTCAATAATAGCAAGGACGTCTTTTTTGACGGCTTCCAAATGGGCATGGCTTTATGAATGACACTGAAACTCTCCTGCTTCTTTATCAGCCACAAATATATTGTGGGCCTGCAGGAAAACTTTTAATAGGTCTTGCTATGCCATCACTAATAATAATTTACACAGTGCTCTTTTCACTTGTGGTCGTTCTTGCAACAACCCTGCAAAGTAGGTTGGTTCTTCATAGCCCCAAGTTGTAGAAGCAGAGAGATGCAATGCTATAAAATAAATATATTCACAATTATTGTTATGAATGAATTAATTAATTTTATAATGAATGATTTTAAAATGTTGTTTATGCTGTACTTTTGTACTGTTTTATTGTTGTTAGCCGCCCTGAGCCCAGCTCCGGCTGGGGAGGGCGGGATATAAATAAAATTTATTATTATTATTATTAACTACAAATATGCAGGAACGCATTTTCACAAGGCTTGCTGTGCCGTTGCTAATAAGCATTTTATGCTCTTTTCCCTTGTGGCTGTTCTTGCGACAGCCCTGCAAGGTTGTTGTTGTTTAGTCGTGTCCGACTCTTCGTGACCCCCTGGACCAGAGCACGCCCTGCAAGGTAGACCAGTGCTTATTAGCCCCAAGTTGTAGAAGCTGAGAGATGCAATTAAGTTTATTATTATAATTTTTATACCCCAGCAGGATGAGCAGGGTATAAAATTATTATTATTATTATTATTATTATTATTATTATTACACCTCTCAGATTCTACAACTTGGGGTTAATAATAAAAATTAGAAATTTAAAATAATAAAACAGAGAATAAAAATCCATTGTTATTCACCACAAATATTGCTGCACCGACGCTAATGACCATAACTGACGCATGCGCTCTTCGCTTAAGGTCTTTCTCACGACAACCCTGCAAGGTAGGCCGCTGGGAAGGCCCGAGAAGTAAAACCAAAAAAGAGACGCCCCACCACCAAACGAAACCCCTCTTTCCCTTCCTTCTCACCACGACCTACCCCCGACGCAGGCCAGCGCCGCCTTGAAGCCGCAGCTCTCCATGGCCCGCTCGACCATCTTTTGCTCGGGGCTCTTGGCCGGCGCCGGGAAGCCCCCAAGGGCGGCCGGGTCCAAGGCCCTCGCCTGCCTCGGCCCGCGCTTCTCGCCCACCAAGTGCTCCAGCAAGAGGCTGTACTGCAACGCCCCGGGGGGCACCGCAGCCTCGTCGGGCCTACTCGGGCCCGTGGAAGATGAGGCCGCCGCCATAACTGTCCGTTCCCCGCCTCAGAAAACCAAGACTACGGCTCCCGTCATGCCTTGCACCGCAGCGCCCGGCTCTCCCAATAGGATTCGTGCTGCCGAGGCTCACGGGAAATGTTGGCCGCTCGGCGGTTTTTTAAACGCAACACTGCGCAAGCGCCGCCTCTCACGCCGCTTGCCTCCGCCGAAACTACGACTCCCGGCATGCACTCCAGGCGCGTCGCTCTGCGGGGATGGGCTTAAGCAGCATGGGACGTGTAGTTTTCTGGGGCGGTGGAAGAGCTTGACTTGCGCGAGGTGGCCCCCTGCCGGGCGTGCCAGGAGCCGTTGCATAGGAGAGAGTTTGCAAAGGAGGACCAGACGGGAGCATCTTTGGAAGGGACAGGTAAGTGTGCTCCAGGTGAGGCAGGCCTAGAACTAACGGGTCCTTGAGGGCTGCTGCTGAGGGAGAAAAGAGGCACCCGAATTGTGTAAAGGGGCTCCCTGATATTGCAGAGGGGGGCTGAATTATTATACCATATTGTATATTCAATTAATAATTACATTATCACAATGACCCTTGTCTCCCAGGGCCTAGTCTGCTACTCTGACCAACTATATCATACTATCTGGGTTGTGCTATATTTATCTGACTCTCCATTCAGTGTGGCTCCTCCATATCCCTTTTTATCCTTGCTAAAACTTTATTAGGGGGGTTAGGCTGAGAGGTGGCAGTTGTTCCAAAGCCAAGGTCACTCAGTAAGCTTTGTGGCTGAGTTGGGGCCTTTCTGGGCCTAACCTGACGCTCTATCCCACCAGGGCCTGTGGCATAGTGAACTTTTAAAATCTTTAAAGTACCCTGGGGCTTTCCTGGAAGTTTATGATAATGCTTGATTGTGGTTAAATACAAAGTGGCTGGTTGACAATGTATTATTATTAATTAAATTTGTATACTGTCCTTCATAACATAAATACATTGACTGGCACACCAACTCTAATTAAGAAGTGGGGCTGTGAGGAAGACTAGTGGCTCAGAAAATAAGTATTTTCAGATACTTGAAGGTGGTTTGGAAATGAGCCTGCCCCTGAGCAGTTGATTTGGGATGTTGCGAAAGGCCAGCAGATCAATTATTTAATATTTTTATTATTATTGTATCCCACACCCAAGGAAGAAGCAGTTGTGGGATTTCCTCCCACAGCTGTTGACATCCATGTCTGGTGAAACAATGGGGTGAACTGAAGTCAGTGCTATTTTTCTAGAAAAAGAGGTGCTGGAACTCACAATGAACTCCTCCCTTGTCTTATAATGGCAATGGAACCCACCTGAGAGGTGCCATCTTACCTACTCCCTGAAGCCAGCTCTCCATAGACTACGTCCTTGGGGATCCTGCCATCTTCCATTCTGTGTTGCTTTGTGTCCCTCAAGTGTCCAAAAAACTTTGCCAGCTTTACTGTGCATCTTGACTTCATCTCAGGCGCAAAATGTCTTGGGCCACCCCTGGAATAACAGGTTTTCATAGTGCACTTGTTTTCACGTTGGTGAGTAAGCAGATGTTGTAGGCTTTTCAATTGCATGCCAAACCTATTTAACCCAAGGAAATAGCGTGGAATGTGATGGCTCTTTCTCCAAAATGCCTCCCGCATCCGTCTCTTGTGGCACCAACAGTTGCAGGTGCTTCATTCCAGCTCAGATTTCTTGTCTATCTAAGCCAATATTGTCCACTCTAACTGGCAGCAGCTTCTGATCAGTGCCGGCCCTTCACATTAGGTGTGAAGATTTGATGTGAGGTTTAAAGCTTCGTAAGTTCAAAAACATATTGCTAGGTAGGTTCCATACTATGGTGACATGATAGAAGGTTATAAAACTGTACATGGGAGAAAGAGAAAGTGGAAAGAGAAATATTTTTTCTCCTTCTCTCATAACATTTGAATCTGTGGGCATCCAGTGAAGCTGAATGTTGGAAGATTCAGGGCAGATTTTAAAAAGCTTATTCACACAGAGCAGAGTTTAACTGTGGAACTCCCTGCCACAGGAAGCAGTGATGGCCACCAACTTGGATGGCTTTAAAAGAGGATTAGACAGATTCATGGGGGGGGGGAGTTTTATTGATGGCTAATAGCCAGATTGGTCAGAGGCAGGAATGCTTCTGAATACCAGTTGCTGGGACCCTCAGGAGTGGAGAGCGCTCTTGTGGGCTCTCTGATCCTGCAGGCTTTCTCGGTGCTCATATTCTATCGCTGCACATGTGACTTTTTCAAAGAAGTGTGTGTGTTCCACTGGAAAGGCTTGCTGTGTTACATAATTCGGTCAGTGATGCTGCTCTAATGTGACATTTGCCTGCTCAACTTGAAGAGGAAAGGAACACTGTTCCATCGCCACGCTCGCTTGGAACTGCCGGTGAACCTGTCCTCCGTTCGCGAGCCTGGCGTTCTCCTACCCACCCTGTGCAGAAGAATGGTCGTTTCTCTTCCCTGCTCCCCCTTTAAATATCCCGTCACCATAGCGACTGCTGGAACAGGGTGCCTCGCTGGCAGGCGGGTGCCAGCCTTCCCTGAGCGGCTATGGCTGTTGTGGCAGAAATAATCGGTTTGCTATTTTTAATAAAGTGTGTTGAAGGAGGCGTGATTGACAGCTTGGCCCAGGGGTACCATCGCAGGTGGGGAGGAGGGAGGTTATCCCACAAAGCGAGGGGGGCGTCACTGAACCATGAGTAAAACGGAGGTTATGGATTGGGGCCTGGGGCTCAGCGGTGGACCATGTGCTCTATGCATGCAGAAGGCCTTCGTGAAAAGGATCTGGCACAGAAGCAGGGCAGCTTTTTCAGCCCTGGGGCCACATTTCCTTTCTGGGGGGGGGGGGGCACATGCCAGAGGTGGGTGGGGCCAGAGGCAAAAGTGGGTGGGGCAAGAGATGTAAAATTTAGCTTTGTATTGCAGGCTGTCTAGGACAAACCTAGACAGCATCTTAAAAAGCAGAGACATCATCTTGCCAACAAAGGTCCATATAGTTAAAGCTATGGTTTTCCCAGTAGTGATGTATAGAAGTGAGAGCTGGACCATAAAGAAGGCTGATCGCCGAAAGAATTGATGCTTTTGAATTATGGTGCTGGAGGAGACTCTTGAGAGTCCCATGGACTACAAGAAGATCAAACCTCTCCATTCTGAAGGAAATCAGCCCTGAGTGCTCACTGGAAGGACAGATCCTGAAGCTGAGGCTCCAATTCTTTGGCCACCTCCTGAGAAGAGAAGACTCCCTGGAAAAGACTCTGATGTTGGGAAAGATGGAGGGCACAAGGAGAAGGGGACGCCAGAGGATGAGATGGTGGGACAGTGTTCTCGAAGCTACGAACATGGAGTCTGACCAAACTGCGGGAGGCAGTGGAAGACAGGAGGACCTGGCGTGCTCTGGTCCATGGGATCACGAAGAGTCGGACATGACTAAACGACTAAACAACAACAACAACATTGCAGGCTAGCTTCCACACACTCCTGCACACCTCTGATGGGAGGGTGTTCCACAGGGCAGGTGCCACCACCGAGAAGGCCCTCTGCCTGGTTCCCTGCAAGCTCACTTCTTGCAGTGAAGGAACCGCCAGAAGGCCCTCGGAGCTGCATCTGTATGAACACTTGTCTGTCTCTCAGCCCTGGATGTCTCCCTAAGCTCTTAACGCTCAAGTTCTCTCCAGAGAGGTGGTGCTTTTGGTTATGCAACAGCGCCAATCCCTCTCTTTCTCTCCCTGAGCAATTCAACTCAACTCTCTTCCTCTTGGGACTTTTTGCTCTCCATATGCCCATGGATATATTCTGCCTGCCCACCCCGTGCCAATTTCTCCTGTTTCGTGTCTTTGCTTGCTCCACCCACGCGCCATGCCCACTGCGTCTGCGGGTCCGAAATCCTGAGGAATCAGCAGTTCAGCTTGTGTGATGACGCAGGGGAAGCCGGCTGACGACTCAGCTGTTTTCTTTCTAGCTGGGCCCGGACCGCTGAGCACCCTCGGAGGCAGACACGCTGTCGAACTTGGCAGGATCCGCTCCAAAGTTTCCTCGCATCGGTAGCTCCAGGCAGATCTTATTCTGTAGCCCCTGCTATCTCTTCAGGCCACAAGGACTGGGAGTGGATAGTTTATTAGTGGTATTTACAGCCCCAGCATTTAGCCCTCAAAACGACCTGTGGTTTAAACTGGACTGTTGCCTCGTCTTCTCCCAGCTCGGAGGCTGCAGTCAAAGCGGGATCAGGGCCTTCGTCTCGCCGTCTAATTATGGGCCTGTCCAAACATTGTGGCTTCCTTTTCTTTCCCTTGTGATTATGGCCAGTGTTTCTGAAAAGAGTCCACGTCTCCCTTCCCTGCCAGCGTCCCTCAGTTTCTCTTTCTGCGAGCTAAGCCTTGAGTGGGAAGAGCGGCTTCCTGACCCTCCCTGCTTCTGTGTTGTGAATCCAGCAGGCATCAGAAGCCGCCTTTATACCAAATAAACGTCTAGTCTAGATTCTCCACCTTGATCCCCCCCATTCTTTTTTTAACTGGAGATGCTCTCAAGAAATTGAACCCAGGGCCACGCCAGGCAGGCACTCTGCCTCTGAGAAACAGCCCTGTCCCGTAACAGCACAGTAAGTGGCTTTATGCTGTTTAATAAATAATAATAAGAAATAATAATTTTTTATTTATTCCCCGCCCTTCCCGGTTCAGAAAACCGGGCTCAGGGTGGCTAACAAAAAATTTAAAACACTTAATTGATGCAACATAATAATAATAATAATAATAATAATAATAATAATAATAATAATAATTTATTTAAATCCCGCCCATCTGGCTGAGTTTCCCCAGCCACTCTGGGCGGCTCCCAATCAAGTGTTAAAAACAGTACAGCATTAAATATTAAAAACTTCCCTGAACAGGGCTGCCTTCAGATGTCTTTTAAAGATAGGATAGCTGCTTATTTCCTTCACATCTGAAGGGAGGGTGTTCCACAAGGTGGGCGCCACTACCGAGAAGGCCCTCTGTCTGCATAATACAGTATAAAATGCGAATAACAATAAATTCAGAACTCACAAATCAATTTAGGGGGGGAAATCCATCCAATAAACATTAGATGATCACCAGGGCTAGCTGGCTAAATTAGTCCTATTTGGGCCAGCGAGGAGACCAGGGGAGAATTAGCTGTGGGATCCCAGAGCAGGTAATCTTCATAAAAAGGGCAGAGGGAGGGAAGGGAGGGGAATAAAAGATCAGGCTAAGTTCAAGTTGAAAGCCAGGTGGAATAGCTCTGTCTTACAGGCCCTGCAGAAGGAAGTTAAATCCTTCAGGGCCCTGGTCTCATGGGACAGAGCATTCCACCAGGTCGGAGCCATCACTGAGAAGGCCCTGGCCCTGGTGGAGGATAATCTGACTTCCTTAGGGCCCGGGACCTCTAAACTATGATTATTCATGGACCTTAAGGTCCTCTGCAAGGCATACCAGGAGAGGCGGTCTCGTAAATACGAGGACCCTAAGTCCATCTAACTCAGTATTGTCAGCACTGACTGGCAGCGGCGCTCCAGGATTTCAGATTGGGGTTCTCTCCCCCAGCCCAGATCTTCAGACAAGGGGACATTCCCAGGTTGAACCCTGGGACCTTCTGCATGCAAAGCAGGCGCGCTCCCACTGAGCTCTTCCCTTGGGAATAAGGGTTCTAGTCCTCATGGTTCCTAGCGTGAGGCGGATTGAATCGGAACCTAGGACGCTGCCTTATACTGAGTCAAGCCATTGGTCCATCTAACTCTATGCTGACCGCCAGGAGATCTGCTCTCCTGGGTTTCAGCTGGGGGTTGATCCCGGGGGCCTTCTGCATGCATAGCAGCTGCTCTGCCACTGAGTTGCGCTCCTCCTTCTGCCTCGTGGGGGAAGAACGCCCTGCTCCTTAATTCTAAATATGCGGTTGCTCAGTATGGAAGGAATGGCATGCCTCCATTCCTTGGTCGTCTTACACCCTATCCCAGCAACGATGGGTCAGGCAATTAATTAATTTGTTAGCCACCCGATACGGGGCAGTTTCTTGCAATCAAGCTTGCTTAAAACGGCCACCCATATTTAAGAGATCGCAGCATAAAACGCCACCCTCTTTAGGGCGCAGTGATGGACACATAACAGCAGCTAGTAGTTTTAACAACTGTTTTGTGTGTGTGTGTTTTAAAAATGTTTTTATATTGCTGATGAGAAGGCAACGTATGAATACTTCAATGACAGAAATACCAAATCAGACCATAATAAATAATCACAGAGACTGGATCGAGCGGCAATAGCTTCATTTTGTTTGAGGTTCGTTCGTCTGTGGGAACGCAAAGCCAGCAGATTCAGTGTGTGCAAGCTCAGAAGGAAAAGGGGAACAGTCTCCAGATGAGCAGCGGCTTCTTCTTTCTGCCCCTGTTTCTCAAGCACTTCTCTTTTTCATCATTCTGATGATGATCATCACTATTATTATTTCTTTCCTCTGGCTTGCTAAGTGCTCTCTTCCTCTTTGGGGTGGGAGGGGAAGCTTAAAAGTGGTTGTGTGGAAAACCACCCTGCGTCCAAAAATACAAGGCTTGGAAAAGGCAGCCAGGAAGCCAAGAGCTGCTTGGCGTTCTTTTGTAACAGCTCCCTTGAGCCTAAAAAAACTGATTCCCTCCCTCCTTGACTTTCTCCGCTGGCAGAATAATGGAAGGAGCTGTTTTCACAACTCCCTTCCACTGTGTTTCTGCTTAACTGAAGCTCTTAAATTAGCACGCTGCAGGGCAGCAGGGCAAAGGAGGAGAAGGTGTATGCTTTTTTTAATGAGCGAAACTTAGGTTTCTAGTCCTCATGGGTGCAGACATAAATCTGTTTTTAGCCTACCATCAATTTTAATTATTAATACCTGAGGGGTTGTTTTTAACTATCTTTTTATTGACAGTTTTTTTGTTTTATTCCTTTTGTGAAGCGTTTTGAAGTTTGTTCGTTGCACAGTAGTTTGTTTTTTACAGCCAAGCAGTATATAAATCTTGTGAAATAATAATAAAATAAAATAGATGTATACCTTTGACCACAGTACAGTTGACAAACAGTGTGTTGCAAAAACTTCTTTAAAAGGAAACACAGATTTTCCGCCACAGAAGCCCGCATTTCATTGACTGTACATGCATTCCACAAATTATCCCCACTGGCCCTGTTTCCTGTCACAAGGAGGAGGCAGCTGCTCTGCAAAGCAGGTTGGCATCTTCCCACCTACCCCCCCCCCCCCAAAAAAAATCCTTTTCTTATTACTGGGAATCTTATTTGACAAGCTTTCTGGCTCCTTAGATTTCTCTAGGAGTCACCTGTCTGCTTTCAAGGGCACATCTGCATCCATGAGGACTAGAAACTGAAACCGGCAGAGTGTCTCCTTTTACAAACACAACAGCAGAGCTTAAATTATCCAGAAAGCGTAATTCTGCTCGTTTTAACTGTTTTTAAATAGTTATGTCATTTTGCAACCGCAAGTCACTCGGGGCTTCCTTTGGTGGCAGTGATGGGCAGAGGCTGATCTACACTGTGACCAATCTCCTTAGGTAGTTCGTAGAATCAAAGAGTTGTAGCCTTGGAAGGGACCCCAAGGGTCATCTAGTCCAACCCAAGTCCGGATTGGCTGTTGTGTGTCTTGGCTTCCCTGTTCCTTTTTCACCTCGCCATCTGTGCTCTCATTTCAACCAGAACTTTTTTCTTTGGCACCACGAGTCGCGCAGCAGCGAGGGGTCCCAGAAGGACCCTTTCTTCCTGTTATTCCTTCCTGCCTGATGCTCTGAGCAGCTCTGGGAGATGGCTGGATATAGCCTCACCCTCTCCATTTCCCACAATGCCCCTGGTCCGGCATCACCCTGAGGAATTGTGGGAAGTTTCCTTATCACCTTGTCGTTCGCCTTTTCTGAGACTGGGGTGGGGGCGGGGAGACAGGCTTCAGACCCCACAAGAGGGGTGGGACCTCAAACTCCACCCTCTGCCACAGGCCCTGATCCGCATCCTGCCCCTCAAGTGCCCCAAGTGAGGAGGTGAACTCCCCACTGAGAGGCTGGTCTCCCCAGAGATCCCTTGAAACACAGAGCCTTGGGGACAACCCTCCACTGTAGTTGATCTTCAGCCGCCCAGGAGCATCAGAAGAACTTCTGCCTAGCACACGGAAGCGCCTTGGTTCTTCCCAGCCTCTCCCTTGGTCCAAGAGAGGGTATGGTGGCGCCTCTTGCTAAGCCAGCCTTGGGGAAGCTGGCTAGGGAGGAATCGGCTGGGCTGTTTATAGCTGTCCGCCACATAATTGTGCACAGCTGTCTGAAGTTAAGCCCTCTCCACACAGGTCCCTTGCTGTCTTTTTTAGCATGGAAGCTGGCAATTTTTTTAATAATTCGAGAGAGCGCAAACAGCCTGGCATGATAGATAGAACCAGCTGCTCTTCAGGACACAGTGGTGAGAGGGAGATAAGATGTCCTTTTTTTGAGTCTGGAGTCTTATTTAGGGTCAGAATTAAATACAGCCAAGGAAGGCGTGTAGCTCAGGGGCAAAGTGCCTGATCTGCCTTTGTTCAGAATCATGAGGACTAGGATCTTGGGATAGCTGAGTAGCTGCTTCGATGCAGAAGCCTGCAGGTGTAATTGCCAGGCAGCGATAGGAAAAAGGGCCCCATAGGATCCTTGCTTTGTAGAAGCACTTCTGCCAGCCTTCGGGCAGTCGGCCTTGATCTTGCCTGTCGCACAAGTTAATCGGGATCTGAGCACCGGACAATGAGGTCAGCAACCCGCTCTTGTGCTTTTGTGTGCCTACGCAGAAGAAAATTTCTCCTGCACGCAGAGCCTCTGTGAAGCTATCGAGGCTAGGTAGCCTTTGGCTAGGCCTGTCCTCTACGATTTTGACATCCTGTGGCAATGAGTTCCACAGGTTAATCCCACCCTTGCATGCAGAAGCACTTCCTGCTGGTCAGTCCTGAATCCAATGGCCAACCTGGATTTCTAGCATTAGAAAAGAGCGAGGGGACCTCCATTTGCTCTCTGCCTCTCCAATACAATTGTCATTGCATGTGTCTCTATCATAAGAATAGAAAGCTTTTCAGAACCTGCCTGGGATCGAACTTGGCACCTCTTCTGCATGCAAGCCATGCCCCCCCCCCTTTGCAAAGGGAATCCGTTGCCATGTTCATCTGAGTCACCACCACTGAGTGTGTGAGACACAGAGCAATGCTTACAGGAAACCCAAGCGCCTGCCCTCTGCACCGGGTTATAACAATTATCCTTCTGGCTCTGCCTTTGTCTTGCTGGGACCACCAGTGGCCCTCCAGGGTGTCGGACAGAGAAGGGTCCTTTGAATCTGGGACCTAAGACCGTAACAAGAGCCTGCTGGGTCAGGGCAGTGGCCCAGCCAGTCCAGCATCCTGTTCTCCCAGTGGCCACCCAGATGCCCGTGGGAAAACTGCAAGCAGGATTCGAACACAAGAGCAACTCTCCCTTCCTGCAGTTTCCAGCAGCAGGTATTCCAAAGCATTGCTGCCTTCACTATGGAGGCGCAGCCTAGCCACAAATTTGCCTCTTTTAAAGCCATCCCAGTTGGTGGCCATCCCTGCCTCCTACTGGAGCAAGTTTAATTTTGTGCTGCATGCAGAAGTCCATCCCTTCCACTTTGCAGAAATCTAAACACACACCCCCCAAAACTCCTCTGGTCCAGGTAGGCTCCCTGGCTGGTTACCCCCCCCCTTCCTCGCAGCCCGCTAGTGAGCTGCCTTCTGCCTGTGTGTGTATGTGCATACCAAATGCCCAAAAAAGAAAGGGAGGGGGAAGAAATGGAACCACCACCCTCGTAAGCTTCCGTCTGTGAATCATTTCTCAAGCAGCCGCTCTCTCTCTCTCTCTCTCTCTCTCTCTCTCTCTCTCCTTCATTGCAATGTGGTTTTCCGACCAGAGAAGCTCCACAGAGTTCTGCATTCTGAGTCTGGTGTGCAGATGCTGCTCAGGCGAGGCTGGAGGCGGACGGCACTCCTGTTGATGCAGCAAAGAGCGCGATCCCACGGCACAAGTGAGTCCCCCTCTCTGCATTTTTTAAATGTTATTTATCGGCAGGGATGGAGAGATCCATCTCTCCCTCTCTCTCTCTCTCTCTCTCTCTCTCTCTCTGCCCCCCCCATGTGTTTTCCCAGCTGGTGGGGATTCCGAGATGCTTTAGAAATAGCCCCCTATGGGGCAACGGGGGGGGGGTGGGGAGCTGGACCGTAGGTTATCTCCCCTCCCCAGCCTCTTGAGCCAGCACCCTGCCGGAAAAAGGCTGCTCGGCTTCTGGTTTTTCCGAGACCTTCCCGCGCCCTTCCGCTGGATTGCAGAGAGAGAGAGAGAAACCTCAGAAGACGTGGAACGTGGCTTCCCTTTTTCCCTGCAGAAGCTGACATGCTTTGCAAAAAATAATATTATTTCGCCTCCCTGTGTCTCCTGAATCTAGCAGAAGCTCCTGTGCATGCATGTGTGCTTAGCCGGATTAAAGGACCTGCTGTCAGTTGCTCCCCCCTCCCCACCTCTGCGGAGTTTCCTTAGCGACAGAGAGTCTCTCGGCTTCGTGCAAAAGCATCTCTGGATCAGACCATCTCAGCCAGGCTTTTGCCTCCCCAACAGAGCCGGGCTGGCGCTCCTAGGAAGCCCAGGGGCACAAATGCAGCAAGTCTCCCCTCTTCCACTCCTTTTTTGACTCTAGCATCTGGGGGTACACTCTCTCTGCACCTGGAGGCTCCACCTGAGTTTGGCTTCTCCCTCCCCCGGAGTTTGCTTAGCAACAGCAACCCAGGAGCGTTCTCCAGGGCTGCTCTGCTACGGATTGCCTGGAATGAGGAAGGCTGAGAAAAGACAGGTGGTGGTAGTTTTAGCTCAATTCAGGAGACGAAACAGGTGCCCTGCAGGAAGAAGGTTCCAGGTTCGATCCCCGGAAAGGACCAGAGAGAGAGGAGGGAGATGGGGGGGTAGGGAAACCTGTCTCTGGGATGGCAGAGATTCTGTCTGCAGCAGATGACATTGAGCTGCATGAATAAACATAGTCTGGTCCGAACATGGGAAGCTGCCTTCTGCTGAGTCAGACCACTGCTCCATCAAGCTCAGTATTGCCAGCACTGGCTGGCAGCGGTGCTCCAGGGTTTCAGAAGGAGGGACAATCCTGGCCCTGGGATTGAACCATGCAGACTCTCCCCGTGACCTACAGCCCTTCCCCTAAAAATAAAATGAGATTCCAGGCCTTGTGGTGAAGAGCTGGCTTAAATGAGAGCATAGGAATCTGCCTCACGCAGAGCCAGACCAAATAAAAACAAAGCACAAAGTCCTTGTGGTTCTGAATTGAGGGGCTGATTCGAAATACAAACACAGGGAGGTGCTTTACACTGAGGCAGAACATTGGCCCATCTAGCTCAGTATTGCCGACACTGACTGGCAGCAGCGTCTCTCCAGGGTTTCAGGCAGGGAGTCTCTCCCCCAGCCCTACCCGGAGACACCATCAGGGATTGAACCAGTGACCTTCTGCATGCAAAGCAGGTGCTCTGCCACTGAACTACAGCCCCATCCTCCATAGTCTGCAAAATAACTAGTTCCCAGGGTTCCTTTTTGGGGGGAAGCCCATCACCCCCAGATCCTTCCTCATGCTGGGCGAGGGCCAATGAGAGTTGGGAGCCCATCTTGTCCTCAGTTCAAGGGTCTCATGTTCTCCTCGCTCCCACAAGAGGCAGTGGCAGCCACCAATTTGGATGGCTTTAAAAGAGGACGAGACACATTGTTTTAATGTTGTATTTTAATCTTATTTTTAAGTTGTATTTTTATCAATTGTTTTTATACCTGGTGTTAGCTGCCCTGAGCCCAGTCTTGGCTGGGGGGGTATAAATAAAATTATTATTATTATTATTATTATTATTATTATTATTATTATTATTCTTGGAAGAGAAGTCTGTTGATGGCTCCTAGCCACAGTGGCTGTGTTCTGCTTCCACGACTGGAGGTAGTAAGTGCTTGTGAACATCAGTTTCCTGGGAATCGCAGGTGGGGAGAGCTGCAGCGGATGCCCAGGTCCTGCTTGCTTGTTCGCTATCTGTGGGGTGCAGTGGGTCAGTGTGTCTGGCTGTTAACCAGAAGGTGGGTGGTTCGAGCCCACCTCGGGGGCTGGACTAGATGACTCTCAGGGTCCCTTCCAAATCCATGATTCTGGGATCACGTCACTTCTAGGATTCTGTGTGCACCTGCTTGACCATTGTGGGAACAGGAGGCTGGCCCAGGTGGGCCACTGGCCTCATCCAGCAGGCTCGACTTCTTCTGTCGCGTTCCCAATGGCAGCAGGCGAGAAAGTGAGGGGGTATATTGCAAAAGCAGCAGAACTGAAGGCAGGAAGGACAGGGAACCGGCCAGGCTGGCTTGGGGGCTGATGGGATTTAGAGTCCAGCAACATCTTCAGGAATTCCCCTTTGCTGTTGAATGGGTCACAGCACGTGAGCAGATTCCTTGTGTGGGCAGCAATGCCTGCCCTCTCCTGTCAGCCACAGATGGCAGCTAATATGAGCCTCCATGTGTAAGGGCAGCGTCCCCAAGATTGCCAGCCACCGTAGGAGAATATCCAGTGACTTCGCGTCTGGCTGTTGCGCTCCCCAAATTCACCTGCTTGGCTACTGTGGGGAACAGGATGCTTGTGAATAGGGGAGCCTTTGGCCTGATCCAGCCCAGGCACTTCCAATGCTCTTATTGCACTGAGTGAAAGAAGGAGAGGCTATTCACCTCCCCACCCCTCAAATCATCTTTGTTTTATAGTTTTTTCCCCTTCCAGCATTCTTCGGTTTTTGGGTGCATTTTCTTATCACATTAGACCATCAGAAGAGAGTCTGGGTGCTGGATCAGGCCCATCTAACGCAGTATCCTTTCCCCACAGTGGCCAGCCAGATGTCCCAAGTGGGACCTCAGCACAAGAGCAGATCTCTGCCCACTTGCGATTTCCAGCAGCTGGTATTCAGCACTGACTATGTCTCCTAGAGCTCTAGGGATCGTCTGATGAGATCGATTGGCAGAATAATAGAATATTAGATTTGGAAGGGACCGGCAAGGGTCATCTAGCCCAACCCCCTGCAATGCAGGAGTCGCAGCTGAAGAATCCCTGACAGATGGTCATCCTGCCTCCACTGGAGAAGATTCCTCCATCATCTGAGGTAGTCCATTCCACGCAAAAGGAATAGGAAGGAGAGAGGCCTTTTCCTTGCGATGTATTAAGATTATGTAGAAACCTGGGTTCAAATCCTTTATTCACTCACTAAGGTTCACAGGTGGCCTTGGACCAAACCTCAACTTTTTAACTTTTTAATCGTATGTGCAGTGAGTAGGGATGGGGGAGAAGAACTCAGTTTCGTTCTCATTTTAACACAAACCCACCTGAACCAATAAAAAGTAAAGGGACCCCTGACCATTAGGTCCAGTCGTGGCCGACTCTGGGGTTGTGGCGCTCATCTCGCTTTATTGGCCGAGGTAGCCGGTGTACAGCTTCTGGGTCATGTGGCCAGCATGACTAAGCCGCTTCTGGTGAACCAGAGCAGTGCACGGAAACGCCGTTTATCTTCCCGCTGGAGTGGTACCTATTTATCTACTTGCCCTTTGATGTGCTTTCGAACTGCTAGGTTGGCAGGAGCAGGGACCGAGCAATGGGAGCTCACCCCGTCGCGGGGATTTGAACCACCGACCTTCTGATTGGCAAGCCCTATACGCTACGCAAGCCCAAAAATGTCTCTCTTCTGTGTAATCCACACTCTTCCCAACTTTGCGGTCCTGTTCTCCAACCAGAAGTAATTGCCGTGGGATATTGCAGTGGCTACTGGGATAAGTGTTTGGGTAGGTTTGTGGAGCGTTGTTCTCTTGTGGGCAGGCTTGCCAGACCTCCTGCCATCTGAGTCGCTGCTGCATCCCAGTGTAGAGATGGGTAGGAGCGATGTAATGGCAGTGCAGTTCAAGCGTGCCAGCAGGAGCCTCACCCCTACCCTGCTTCCTCCAGGTATGCAGCGCCAACCAAGTCGGTAGGAGGTCAGGTACATAGTGCAGCCTACCATGTCTTATGACAGGGCCTTCTTAGTGGTGGCACCCCAATTTTGGAATATCCTTCCCCGGCCACTTTGAGATTGGGCTGGTGCGACATGGACTATCTTTTGGCACCAGGTAGAAACATTTATCCCCCCCACACACACACATGTTTTGAGTTGTCAGCATCAGCCTATGCTGTGTAGAAGATGCAACAGATGAATATATTTTTGATGGGTTGGTTTTGAGGTAGCGTTTGGATGCCGCAACCCACCTTGAGTTCTTTGTATGATAAAGAGCTGTAGCTCCATAGTAGAGCATTTTCTCTGCATTCAGTCCCTGGTGGCATCTCTAGGTCAGGCTAGTTGAGACCCCCGTCTGAAATCCTGGAGAGCTGCTGCCAGTCAGTGTAGGCAGTACTGAGCAAGGTGAACAATGCTTAGCTAGCTAACTCTGTGAGACTGCCTGTGTTTTGGATGCTGCAGGGTCCGGGTTCAGTCTCCAGACTTAAAAAAGGATCCAGCCCGCAGACTCTCCTATTAAACCACCCCTTAATTCAGAACCATGAGGACCAGAATCTTGCTAGGTAGACCAACGGATTTGGCTCAGTAAAAGGGCAGTTTCCTGTTTAAGGCTGTGGGGTATATGCAGGTAGGATAGAAATAAATACTGCCTGAAAAGAACTAAGGATTTACTTTTAGCACCGTAAACAATAATTTTCCACACACTTAAATAACCAATGAAAATGACATAGCCGTTCCACTTAAGCCCACGTTGCCCCAGGACCCATTCGTCACTCTGTCCTGCGCAGGGTGTCACGCTCTTGAGTCCCAGGGGTTTGCGAGTTATTCTGCAAATATATGGCAGGTATACGTTTAAAAACAGCAGTAAATCTAGAGAAGCTCACCGAACTGGGGAAGCTTCTTGCAAAAGCTCGGCTTTTCATCACTCCTTCCTCCCCCACGTGTCAGTGAGTTCTGGCTGATGCATCGCGACGAATCTTAG